ATAGGCTTTGTTTTTTGCATTCATCTTGGTTTCTCTTACTAGGACCCTCGGCTTTTGATTTGAAAGGCTTGAGTTTCTTAACACCAAATTCGATGAGGAATTCGACAGTTGTCAATACTTTATATAATTCTTTACACCCCTTCTTTCCAACTCGTTTTTGACCCATGGCTTTAATCTATCCATAAAGGTGAAGAACACATTCTCTTCAATTAGGCTCGGGACTTGTAGGCTTAACTCAACAAATTATCGAATGTGCTCCCTTAAAGAGTCTTCTTGCCTAAGATACCTTAGTTTTGATTGTGCCTCGTTCTCGACATGATAAGGGTAAAATTATTCTTTGAACTCAGATTGAAATTCTACCCAGGTTCTAACGTTGGTGTCATCTCGATGCATTTACGTCACCACCATAAGAGTGCTAAATCAGTTAAATAAACAAAAGAATTGTTTGCTTTCTCAGTATCATCTCGATGACCATGGCTCGAAAGTATTAATCCATGTTTCATATAAATTTTCAACGTCTTTGATCGACCTAATCCCTTTAGACTTTCCTTCTTTAGGTTTTCAACCTCAGTTTCGGAACCCTGGTGTAGACACCCGTTTTTGTCCGAGTCTTTTTTAAATATTATTATCGTTATTTTATTATTATTATTATTATTATGCTTATTTTTATTATTTTTTTATTTACATTTTTTACATTTTGTAGGCCAATCGAGGCCCAAAACATATGCAACCCAATTACAATATTTTGCAGGCCCGGAGCCCACTACAAACCTACCCAGTACATCAGGCCCAACAAATGAACCCACTCACTCAGCCCACTCAACTACAAGCAGCCCACCAGACCCAGCTGGATACCCAAACCGGCCCATTATGAAACCCTAATTTTTTAGGGTTTCTATTCATATACTCAGCCGCCGCCGCCGTTCAGACTTCCAGCCGCCGTGTGACTCTTCAGATTCCAGCCGAGCTTCACCCTGACAGCTTCTGACGCCGTCGTCGTCCTTCCTTGCACCAAAACAGTAACAACATACATCCAACAGTGAAAAGAATCAACATCAAGTCAGAGAATGATTATCCTAGAAATATAGGATATTATTATCCTATTTTTGAGGCCTCACATCCATCAACAAATCAACATGCAAAGCAAGATAAAAGGAAAAGGATAGAAGGAGAAAGGGGAGCATTAGGGTTTCAGAGAGAAACAGAAAGAGAGAAAACTAGAGAGAAATCATTCGGAAAATAAAAAAAACTAGCTAAATAACCAGAAATAAGCCAAAGAAACCGAAAAAAAAAGAAAAGAAAGGAAGGTTCATACCCTTTAGAAGTTGAGAATCCATCTCATCGGAAACAAAAATCTTTTTTCCTTGAAGGTACATCCTTCTCCACCATAGATCTGGGTTTTTTTTAAAGCTGTGAGGGTTGCGAAAAGAATGATTTTCTTTAAAAATAATATGGGTTTGTGAGTGAGGAGTTAACTTTTAGGTTTCTAGTGAGCTAGTGAGGTTAACATAGAGTGGTCTTATTATTTCCGGCCACCAAACCACGGTGACCGGAGCTGATTGAGGGGTGGTCTGGGCGTAAGGGAATATGAGAGTTTGAGAGGACCTTTAGGTTTCCCTGTTTGGTGAGAAGAAAAAGGAACGGGTGAGTGACTGAGAATGTTAATTTGTTATTTGGTTTTGGGGTTAAATGCTGAACACTAAACAATATCGTGAAAAAGGGGGGCATTTCTATGTTTTGTGTGTGGGTAACCTATGTAATGGGGCCTGGAGTTTTCGTAACTTTGTGTTATAATCATGTGATATATTTTAATTGTTTTATATTTCATGTCTCACATTTGTAAGTGTTATATTTTGGTCACTTGGCAGTTATTATTGATATTTTGTACATTTAAACATTGTACTCTGTGTTTATAAAATTTACATTGTGGTCATTGTCCTTGTATTCTGGGTTAAATACCGAGACCTGGTTATATGTTTTACTTTCCTTATATTTTAGTCCTTTATTTTATGTATGGAAATAGAAATTTACGTATCTAGTTCATGAGATCTTCCTGATGTATGTTTTAGTCACTGTTTAGTTTTATTCTGGGTTATTTGCTTGTTTGTTCCTTTATGTTTCTGGTTTATCTTATTTTAATCCTTAATATTATTTTTGGATTATTTTCATTTTTGTACCCATTTTATTTATTGTATTTGATTAGGGATCTGATTTATTTGTATTTGTGGTTAAGCCCCTAAAGTTTCTGTTAGTACATTTTAGTCCCCTGTTGTTATGTTATTTTATCTTTGGAAGTTTTTTTACTATCATGATATTTTACTTTCTTATATTTCAATCCTTAATTGAAACTTTGGTTTTTTACTTCAAACTTTAAATTTCATCCTTTTTTATATTTTAGTCATTTTTACACTATTAATTGTTTTTGGTTAATTGGTTAATTTCACTTATTAAGTTGTGATATGATTATTTATTTATTATATATATATTTTTTAAATTTTCATATTTGGGTCTGCCATGCTTACATGTTTTCATTTTAATCTAGGTTATAATATGCATGTACATATTATGTTTCACATGTCTGTGTGCATGTACTAATTTATTTATTTTTATTTTATTTCATTACATACACGTGTTGTATCATATATGCCTATATACATAAATTATAAATTTATTTTTACCCTTTCATATTCATATATATATTACCAATGTTTGTTCCATGCTATTTAATTTGATTTATGTTAATTTGTTAAATCTAATTGTCAACATTTTATGTTATTTATTCGAATATCTTCGAGAAAATATATTTGTAGAATGGGGTGGAAAGCGCCACTTGATCGAAGTGATGTAATTCAATACGACATTCGAACAGATACGAACTTAAAATAGATCTATTTTCTTTTTACTAATTAATTTATTTTAATAATGCAATATGTGTTATTTTTAATTCACTATTTATTTCCTTTTATTCGAATGCAAACGTCAATTTTATTTATATTCGATTTGCATATTTATCAATGAGGGAATATTCTTTTATTGACAAGAAATAGTCGAGTTAGCTTCCCCGATGGAGGATTATTAATTTTGATATTTCTTTTCGAGTTAAAGAATTTTCTGTAATTAATTTAATTCGAAGCAAATTAATCAATGTTCGATAAATGGATCACAATTTAATTTTATATTCGATTTATCAGTTCCACCATTTACGACAACACATAAGCGACATAGTACCAATTTTGGGCGCTGTGGGGGTGCTAACCCTTCCCCACACGTAAACGACTCCTGAATCCATTCAAATGGAATCCTTGGTGACGCAAGCTATTTTTGTCTAAAAAATGATTTTTCCTAAAATTATTTTTAAAGACATTTTTAGGTATTCAACCTACCTAACCCAAAGATCAATGACGACTCCTTTCAATTTAATTCTAATTAATTCAAAATCATTTAATTTATCCAAATTAAAGTCATAATCGTTTTTTAAAATAATATTTATTTGTTTTACGAAAAATGGTTATGACACCTGGTTTTTAAGTTCTTCGACCTCTTGTGTTAAGCCAGGATTTGGGCTTTCAAAGCATCGTCTTGTTGGAACTCTTCGCATCTAATTCGTTGAGTTCAGTATGAACATCCTCATGGATATTGTCCAAGGCTTCAAGCTTCTAGAGATCCATAGACCCTAGCTTTTCAAGGTCGATGGATTCCAATTGATCCAACACATCCCTAGCTTCCCTCACAGAGTCTTCGAGTTTGGTGATCTTACCATAGAGTGATGAGAGCATGTCCTTCGACGTTCCTCTCTTTTTCTCTGTGTTGGAGTCTCGACACCCTCGGATGTTGTTGCCTCGCCACGTTGAGAAGTCATATAGTCTAATCACAAACGTGGCTTTGATACCACTTGTTACAGGGCTAGACTGTCGGTTAGTTGGTCCGTGCGGCCCTTAGATGTCTCGTTTGGTTGTTCGACGTCTAAGTCAACTTAAACTCCTCGGTTATTGTTGCTATAGCGATAAGAACAATGGAAAAGCATTGAAAAACGTAAGTAAGCGTGTGTAGGAAAGTTTTTGTCCTGAATGTCTGAGTTTATTCACATAAAATTCTCTATATCTAATGGGGGTGGGAGACCTCCTTTTATAATTAAGTCCCCTTACATCTCATGACTACTCCTAGTTTAACTACAAGTAAAACTATATACTTTAGTTGGAACTCTAATACTTGAAACATATTCAAACAAGGTCTATGCTACTTGGCTTTATTTTCCAATTAATTATCGGCCTTGCTAGGCGGACATGCCCTAAGTCAGTGCTGGCCTCGACCTCGGTGCACCCTCGGTGTGCTCAAGCCTTGGTCCTATATACCTCCGATGTGTGCTGCCCTCGCCCCCAAACGGCCCCCTTTGTGCGTTCATCTCTATTCTAGGCACACACCCGGTGTGCGTTGGCCTCGACCCCGAGTGCATCCCTTTCCTTGCTGGCTAAAGCCCTTGGCTAACCTTGTCGTGTGTTGGCCTCGACTCTAAGTACACCTTGGTGTGTGGTGGTCACGACCCTAGGCAACTCTTAATGTTTGATGGTTGTGCTTGTGGGTAGTTTGGTGGTGTGCGTGTCTTGACCTTATTTGACTCTATGTGCGCCTTGATCTCGGTGTGGCCCTTGTGGGTTGTCTGGGCTGCGTCTGTCGCACCTTGATGGGTGTTAGTCTCAACACCACTGCGAGAGCGGTTAACCTTGTGCTGGTTACGACCCCACAAGTAGTCTGTTGTGGGCCAAATTCGCCCATAAGTTCATGATGCTAATAACATTTTTTAATGATTAACCAGGTATATTCACCGTAGTGATTGTTTGATGGGCACTCTCTCTTATTATTGAAGTTATTTGATAGGTTATTTTCATAATAAATTTTGATGGTACAAAATGAAGAAAACCAAACCATAAAGTTAAATAACCAATGCTAAAAAGGTGTATAAAATGGTAAAATTATAATATTATATATTGTTTAATGAAGCATTAATTTTAAACATAAATTTCATCCGGTAAATCAACAAAGCCTAATTAATACAATCGTACTATATGACCTAAACATGATACGCTGCTCCGATGTAGTCCAAGCTCTAAACACAAATTCATAAGCACCGCAAGCCTAGAAGTTGAAGGCAAAAGCAACGATACAAACTGCGATGAGGTCCAAAACCCCGGAGGAGACGAGAGACAGGGCACTGCTCTGTGCAGGGCCAGGTGCACTCACCATTTCTGATGGTGAGTTTGCAGGAGACGAACCCAATGTAGAAGGGCTAGGACTTGCGGCTGGGCCTTTGGATGACGGTTTAACCAACACATCGACTTTCTGGCCGGCTTGACAGTGTCCTGGGACGCCGCAAAGGAAATAAAAATGGCCGGGTCTTTTGAGGGTCACGGAGTCAGATCCGGAGGTGTAGGAGGCGATGGCCGATGTTCCGTTGCATGACTTGTAATCGTTGTGGGTCACTTGCATCACGTTGTGGAACTGTGGGTTGTAGGCGAAAACTGCCCCGTCAAGCAAAACATGGGTTTAATTACCAAAAAGATGTTTTTGTTACCAAAAGATTGACTAGTACTAAAGCTACTTACGAAGAGAGTCGCCGACGTGAAAAGACTTGGAGGAAGCCCATTTGAGGTAGTCAATATTGCCGAGACTCGTCCATCCAGTGGAGTCACCCACTCTGTGAACCGCACCGAGAGAGACACCGACGAAAGCCAGCATCAAAACGAAACCCACGGTTCTCTTGGTAGCAGCCATCCTCAATGACAGTTGTTGATTTATGAAAGAAAACCTCGGGGCGTGGCCGCTATAAATAACTAAATAAGGAGTTTTTGTTCGCCTGGAAAGATTTCCTAATCCCAACGACATTTATAAAGGAAAAAAAGAAGAGCAATTTGCGGTTCCGCTGCTACTTTTAATGAAGTGCAAAAGATATGAACATTCTGCATGTTGAATCTGGGACGTAGATGTGTGCGTTTGACTGACTCTAAACCCTCGGATTTCCAACGGGAATATAGTGTCAAAGTTTGTTTCAATTCTTGAGATTTGGGAAATTTGAAAAGTGGGACCTTATGAGTCATGAGAGGCGAGTCCAACACAATCAATGACTCGGTGGTCCATTGACAACTGGTTTTCCATCGGTGAAAGATTAATTAGTAGGTTTGGGTCCACTCCGGACCAGGGACTGTGCATTTACACTCATTTCTTTGTTTCCTTTATGGACAAAATAACAACTGCGAAATAATTTGATGGAGCGCAGATTTTCACGGCGTTCGATTTTGTTGTTTTCAGAAGATGGACAGCTGTTTCCCATGGAGTAAATGAGTTCACAGGAAAGAAATTTGATTGTACTGGAAACTTTTCAGAGCTTAACAGACAATTGTCTGACAGGTTATATGATGCTGCAACAGTTGCTTTGGTACAAACCAAAGCCCACATGTCTTCTACTGTTTCAGTCAACAAGCTGCTTATCTTTCGTTGAACAACTTTCTAATTTTTTTTCTTTGTATTTTATATTTAATTCATTATTTTTTCATATGTTTTATTTTTCATTAATTTTTCTTTTTACTACGCACATCCAATCCATATCTTGTACCAAAATACAAATTAATTATGTTCTACTTCCACGTACACGAATGTATATATTCATAAATATTTTTATAATGAACACGTTCATAATAAGAATATAATTTTTTATACAAAGTCAAAATAAATAAATTTTAAAATATATACAACTAAAAAAATAAATATCTATATTTTTTTTCAAATTTTAAAATAGGTAAGTGTAAACTATAACCACCACTGGTATGATCAACACCGCAAGAGTTATAAGCCACGTACCCGAAAATCATGCTATCATGCTGTGTCAAATGGAGATCGCATGCACACAGTGGGGGATCAAGAAAAATATTTGATGATGGACACATATATGTTAATGATGTAAAAAATTTAAAATATGTAAGCATATATAAAATTTCAAGATAAAAATTATCAATAAATAAGTCGAAAAAAAAATCAAATCAAGATGAACACTATAAAATTTTAGAGTGGGTACCATCTATAAATCATGTGACTAATTGAACAAAAACTGCCTACCCTCAACCATGAGTGCATCAGTCTGTGCATGCACGGGTGGTAATTATTTTGCCTCTATTATTAACAACAAATTCAAAAGGCAAGAAATATTAGTTGCTAAATGCTAATATTTACCTTACCATAGCCGGAGGTTACTAGGATGTGAATCGAGCAGGGTGGGTGCACTTATTTTCGTTCGTGACTCGTTGCGAGTATAAAATTTAAAACTCTTTTTTTGTTTTGTGATTCATAAGATTAAAATTATCATGATCATATTGCTTATGTGAATCTCGACATCTAATTAATCTTTATTATATTCGATTCATATCTATTTCGTATATTATATTTAAAATTATGAAAGATAATTTTATTTTTATTGTTATTATAATATTTATCAATATTTAGAGAATATAGCCTTGATTTTTTAATTAAATTAATTTGATTAATTATATCAGTTAAACCCTTAAATAGTAACATGGACACTTTATACGCTCAGTCCAAGGTTGATTTAAATAGTAAATTCAAACGAACAATGATGGACCGGCCCATATAGGTAGGTAAAGCCGACTCTTAGAATAAACGTATACGTGTAACCAAACAAAAGCTTCACCCGAAGAGCCCGACAGCGGAAAGTTCTTTCCCTTTACTATCCTATCCCCACTCCCCCATTCCCACTTTATTCCCTGTACAAAATCCACACCCATTTCTGCTTTCGAATGGCGGCGCCCTTTTCTTCGACAACCTCCGTTGGGTCCCTTTGCAGGCCTAATCTTATTCCTCCCAAGTCTTTCCACTCTCCTTTGGGTTCTCTCTTATTTCTTCCTCTTTTTTCCTTTGGTATTTTTTCATTTGAAATCATTGTGCTTTAACTAGACGGTTTTTTATGCTTTCAGATTGTTTCTTGAAGGATTGAGACCGCGTTAATTATCATTCCGGCAATATTCTTGCGCACTCATGGAGCTCGGCTGCATACTACGTCAATATTCGTCACAACGGGCAAAGACGACGTTGTTAAACACTTTCCACGTAAGAGGCAAGTTGGTTGCTGGAAATGCTTCTTGTGTTTGAAGAAATGCTACAGCGATATTCTAGGATAGTATAGTTGTGGGGGGGGGGGGTTCTCTCTTTAGGGTTTTTATTATGTTTATTGTTTTGGAATCTTTGGACTCGAGGTGTGCAACTATTGAAGAAATCGAAGCAGAGAAATCTTCCATTGAGAAAGATGCTGTGAGTGCCTATAAATTCAACTAAACCAATGCAACGTTTTTATACGAGCTGGAGTTTAAATTAAGTTTCTCTGTTTTTTTTTTCGTTTACTTATTAGAAAGCGAGAATGGAGAAGACAATTGAGACGGTTAGAACGAATTTCAATTCAATAAGGACAGGGAGGGTAAACCCAGCAATGCTTGACAAAGTCGTGGTACAAAATCTCATAGAAGCTCACATGGTTTATATTGGGATCATGGACAAGCTATTCTTGAAAGTGGTTTGCAAAAACTATTGTTAGGGCACAGTTTAAATATCTTCAAATTGCTGAATCTTAGATTGTGTTCTCTGGACTGGATTTGAGACTGGTCAAAGAAGGATTGGTTTCTTGATTAATTATTCGATATAGCTAATTGTATTCATCTATGTAAGAGGCCAAAGTTTTCTAATTTGCTTAGAAACTAAAATTCATATTTTTTTTCTTAGAAGGATTTAATTGTGTGCTGTTTTAGGTGGAATATAATGGAACTCCAGTCAACTTAAAGAATATTGCTCAAATCAGTACTCCTGGTTCAAGTTCTCTCTTGATTCAGCCCTTTGGTAAGTCCAGGTATGGTACAAATAAGCCAGATCTTATAAACATTAGTTCAGATTTGTCCCTGGTGCATGTAGTGTTCTTCAGTCATCTTCTGCCATATATATGGCATACATTATGAATTATGGATGTATCAAACTTTTTTCTTTGGAAATGGTATGGCACATAAAAGTCGGCTATTTTACGCATTATATTTTTAGTAGTGTTTCGACAAACTTTTCTAAGAGATTAAGAGAGATAAAGTGTGCCTTATGAAAGCATCTATATGCTTCCTCTCAACGACTGATGCTTTTTGATGTTTAACATTTTTTAGTTTAGTCTATAGAGAAAGCTATAGTCAACTCTGATCTCGGTATGACTCCAAACAATGATGGTGAAGTGATTCGCTTGTCTCTCCCTCAACTGACAACTGAAAGAAGAAAGGTCTATCTGTTTTCTTGATATTTTGGCATGTTGGAGGCAAAAAATGTTTCTATAGCATCCTGCATCCCATGTTTCAAAAATTATCTATTATAGAAGTACTATGTTCATAAAATTATAATTTGCTTGTAAAATATTTTTTTCACTTTAGGTCTTTCATGTCTTTGTAAATGGTATTATAATGCAGCCTAAAACTATAGTTTTTGGAGGTTAGTCTTTACTGTTGTTTCATATTTTCTCATGCCATGTATATATTTAACTGTCTATCTGTACTACTTCTTCACTTATATGTTTTTCGACTTTTATGCCTTTGAATCATAGAGCATGAGTTGACATGAGCATAATGTAATTGCTTCCAAAGGCATTAATTATTTCTTCTTTACACATGGCCGTGGGAATTTCTTTTTTATTTTGTGAAGCATATGATATTATAGTAGTGAGGCTTGGCTGTTCTAAAGACTCATCATTTTGTGGATTTTGATGCACTAACAATGCTCTATAGCAAGTGCAAATACAGTGAAAATTACATATGTTCTTGGAGATGCTTTGGAGAGTTTGCATATATGGTTATTAACATGGTGGAAAACTTGTTTTGGATATTCCTAAGAAAATGTTTGCAAGAACTTTTTGTAGTAGATAAAATGAAAGCATTGATGGCAGTTTGCCAATATTTAGGGAAGATACTTTTACATGATTGCACGAATTGTCAAAATTTGTGGCCAAACAAGCCGAAGAAGGGAAGGTACTTTTAAGCTTTTGTAATTTTGGTTTGTACTTCATCCAATACACTTGACACTTAATTATTTCCATTTCACGCACAAATATACACTCCCACCCTCTATCTCCTAAAACATATTTGGGATATTTAAGTTCAAGATGCATGTGTCCTCAATTATCCTGAAAAGAGATCACTCATTCAGCAAAGAGAGAGAGAAGCAAGAAATGCAATAATAATTGGAGATATTCAACGTAAATTGGGTTTTCTTTGCCAATAGCATTTAAGTTTGGTTTAGGGATAAAATTCCTCCAAGCACATGGAAGAGTTCAGCTTTACTTGTATTGAGGCTTGGATTTCTAATTGTGTGCATTCATTGGGTTTGGGTCGATATATCTTATGGTGACTGAATTTGGTTACGTACTCACTTAAATCATCTTTGTTGATCACTTGTTATAGGTGGCAGTGAGAAATATAAGAAGAGATGTCCTTAAAGCCTATGAAAAACTTGAGAAGGCTTTATTTTTATAGCTTTTCATCCTCACTTTTGGTTTATCTTTCTTTACATTTTTTCCTTTGTGTTTTTTGAATCATCCTTTCTTGATATTGTTAAGTGATTTGCAGGTGACTTGAGATTTTACCTCTCTCTCTCTCTCTCTCACACACACACACATCATCATCATCTTCCCTGCAAACAAAGTCAAGGAAAGAAGTGTTTTTTGTCACTATAAGGCAGAACATTATGCGCAATTGCTTGTTGGTTACAAGACCAATTAGCACTAAATGGCTTGGATGATCAAGGTGATCTGCAATGAATGGGTCTTTTGTCACTTGGGTTTTATGATTTCATCCAAATGCCATGATCAAAGTGTTGTAGGTTTATGGAAAATGGGTGACCACTCATTTTAATTAATTCAACTTTCCTGGATATTTCCAATACCTTTGGAAGTAGCGGTGCTTTTACCTCCTGACTGTTATAGTCCAAAGTCCCCCTTGATAGTATATCTGATTTTCTGGCAATTCCCTGTTTTGGGGGTGCAACCCTTGAAATATAGACTTTAGAGGCTTCTAATTGTCTTCAGTTTCTTTTGTCCATAACTCCATGTACAGTAAATGTGTTTTTGCATTAGTGTTTCGCAATCATGCATGTATATTTCTGGTCTGATTAATAAGTCAATCTAGTGTGTTGCACTTTGCCTTCAGTGTTCATATTTGTGAAATGTTCTTCGTGCAGAAACTCACAGATGAGTATATGAAGAAAATTGATAGCATCAACAAACAAAAAGAAAAGGTATGATTTGTCAAAAAGAAAGTCCATTGTTTCCCATTCTTTGTGTTTCCATTTTTTGCTTTTAATTTGATCTAATGCACCTGAATTTAATACACCAATATTTTACTCATGCTGATCTTGCTTTTGCTCGTCTTGCTGGAGTTGCTGACGGTCTAGTGATTCTCTGTACAAAGTTGTAAAGTCTGGATCTTCCTTATTATTAACACTAAAAGAATATATAGTAGTCTTTGCTTTCTTTGTGATGGGTGGAACTTGTGGTGCATAGTAACTAATATCTTGCAGAAGAACATTTTGAAAGTTAATATGTTATAGGTAAGATACATTGTCTTGAAACAAAGTGGGAAAAAAATCAAAATCCGTGATCACTGAAACTATCTCACTGATTTTGAGAGGTCCGTGGTGTATAAGTAGCCAACAAATACTGGCCTTTTTTTCCCGCCGTGTTGATGTAAAAGATGTGGAGCAAGTCCAAGTTTGAGAATGGTGTTTAAATTTCAGAATGTTGATACCTAAAATTATTGGACTGAGATTGTCAATAGGTAGATTTTTCCACTCCAGAGGAGAGGCTTAAGGTTCCAATCTCTTCAAATTTAATATAGTCTTTGACCAAGAACAGTCGAGGATCTATACCAGCTCCCTTGAGCAACAGGAGCTGCAGTTTGTCTAAAATCTACATCCATAAAATAGTGACATAGGATTATTATTTATTTGTTGGTGGCCATAGACAACGTTTTACTGTATATTATTTTTATTCTTAAAGCATCGTCTTTTTTTTAGCTGAAAGAGAAGAAAGCATCCCCTTTTCTATTCTGGAGGTCTAGAAATGGTGATCTATAACGTGACCATTGAGTTGGTGAACATTCAACAATGGATGAGAATGAGCCTAAATCTGTCGTTTCGGTTCATTTAATTGGTTTTTTGGTCAATTACCATGGGCCTCAAAATTATTTAGGGAAAAAAAGTGTCAACAAATTATTTTTGGATTTAGGCATTTTCTATATTATAGGGGAATTCGTCATTTTCTATAGTATAGGGGAATTTGTCGCCTTGAGGTGATGATTTTCATGAGTATTTTTATATTTGAAGTTTATTATTTTAATATTTCTTGTGAAAGTTATCATTGAGGTGATAATTTTTATTAAAAAATAATATTTTTAGATTTTTAATATGATTTTTTTTTTTAATTTGGAATTTCCAACACATTTCAAAACCCACACCTATCTTCCTCTCTAGGATGATAGCCCAGTACCAGTTTGTATCCAAGTTGTAAAAGAAGAAAAATGGGGTGAGTCTTTCTTGCATTTTATACACATTTGCATACACAAATACATGAGAGGCATGAAATAAAGCACTTTTGGGTGCCTTTGTCCATTGAAACAAACTGGGTTAATGTATACAATGACCATGAAAACCAATTCTGATTACAGAATCTATTACATGGAACTTAAACCAATAATACTGGTACAATCATTCATAGTTGTACTGTGAAATCACCCTAGCTGAATTTAAAGTACAAGAACTAGAGATGATTTCCAAATGTTATTAGCATTTCCTGTCAAGCAAGCTTTCAAAATTTTCTGAAACTCTCATACGTGTGTAAGACTATAATTACTTACGCTTTTGAAATGATCAACCAGCTAGGTGATTTGACAATTACCTTCTCAGCAAATGCTTCTGAGTTCCCACAACAAGAAGGATGTTTTTACAGTGAGGAGGCTGAAGGGGTTGACAAATTGAATTGTAAACGGCAGTATATAATCCTTATTGCAACCCTTTCCACATGCTCCATTGAGATTGTATCATCATAAAAGAGAATCGACAAACCCTATATTTACTTCTTCATTATCCGGTTATCCCTACAGCTCTCTTGTTGAAAAAAAAATGCATTTGCAAAGAACACCATTATTATCCACTTAATAAATTGCAATGACGATGGCTGATGTTAAATTAACATCTTCATTCGATAAGCCATAAACACAACATCTACGTGCTACATACAAATAGAGAATATGCAAAATCATTCATTCTTGCTCATTCCAAATGTATCTTCTGCACCATTCATCACCCTCTCTCTCCGCTCAGATATCATCTCCATATAAGCCTGAAACCATATTAAAAGTTGATTAAGCTCTTAGAAAGGTCCAGACAACCCATATAAGCATTTCCAGATAGAATCCCTTATGCCACAAAAGGAAAGGAAAAAAAAAAACTCAATTATTCCTAAATTATATACCAAAACACAAGAAATAAATATCATTACCACCGAAGTAGGATAGAACCTTCTTTTTAAAATGTGGCCGGTGGATATTGGGTTTACACATCATGAATCAACAAAGCATTTTACCTTTTTAGGTTTAAGTTCGAAAGAGGGCTCATTCTAGTTCAACAAGAAGAAAATAAATGAAAATAAAACACTATAATAGCAAGTAGAATCAAGAATGTGTACCTTGGGATAAGAATAGAGAAAGATGTACCACCATGTGCATATCCCCAAAGTGGCAAAAGCTGTGACCACAACCGAGTGCAAAATTAGCCAGCTAGCGGTAATCACCAACAATCCAGTAAGGGTAATCGTCCATGGTTGACACCTACCAACCAAGTGGGAGCTTAAGATCAGACCAAAACCATGACAGATGCATAAGTAATCAGCTCAACAACCAAGTAAACCCCAATCCATAAAAAGCTGAAAAAAATAATTGATAATTGAAGAGTAAAAGGATAAGATAAGAAGAGAAGTGACCAGGAAGGCTTTGTGTCCCAAATGATTCATACTCGAGAGATAGATGTACCACCATGTGCATATCCCCAAAGTGGCAAAAGCTGTGACCACAACCGAGTGCAAAATTAGCCAGCTAGCGGTAATCACCAACAATCCAGTAAGGGTAATCGTCCATGGTTGACACCTACCAACCAAGTGGGAGCTTAAGATCAGACCAAAACCATGACAGATGCATAAGTAATCAGCTCAACAACCAAGTAAACCCCAATCCATAAAAAGCTGAAAAAAATAATTGATAATTGAAGAGAGTAAAGGATAAGATAAGATAAGAGAAGTGACCAGGAAGGCTTTGTGTCCCAAACTGATTCATACTCGAGAGATAGGTTGTCAAGATAACCATCCATGTCTTCGACGACACCGTTTTCGTCCAAGAATAGGTATTCTTTCTGTTTGGGGTCGTTCGGATTCCCCGCGAAAGCCACTGCCTTGTATTGAAGCTTTGAAGTGAAAGTAGCGGAGAAAATGGGGTCATAAAAGTGGGTTTTCGGGGCAAAGTTATTGAGAGGTTTTGGGACTGCAGACGGTGTGAGAGGGAACAGAGACGATAGAGTTCCCATGTTTTTTTTTGGCCTTTCGGGTACAACTGAAAGCTCTTCCGCGTAGGATCTTTTATTGGTCTCAGCAAACGACGCCGTTCGGTCTGGTTAGAGACTATACTTTTAGATATTTTTTGACTCTGCGGCGATTATCCTGATAATATAAAGAAATTGGGATTCTAAAATGGATACATGTCGTCATTGGGAAGAATAATCTCTTAAAGGCGACGCGGCAAGCTCTTTGTTAGGATGAACCCTCCATAAACTCTTCAGTTTACTGCTTCATGAACTTGGGAAAACAAAATTTGAGATTTGATTATCATATTTGTTTAACCTATCTTATTCCTTATACCACCGGTTAAGAGTTGGAATTTTTTATAATTCACACTCAATTTTATTCTTTATGATTATTTCTCTCGTAAATAAATAATAGTCAACGTCATTCTCTAGTCGATTACAATTCTTTACTCAAATTAAAACGAATAAATAGTCAATCGTCGGCGAGACCGATTTGTTCCCTGCAACAATATACACAATCTACCTGTATTATGTAAGGTTGTTCCGCTTTGAATTGCACTATTGACACTGAAAACATAATGAAGATAATTAGATAATAAATGTTGAAGACATTAATGTGAGTGTGATAAGGAGAACTCTCAGATGACTAGAAACAGCTATTTGCAGATTAGTCTGCAACTATTGTCACTAATTATGCTTCCAACTTCATCTTATTATCTGAAGGAAACGTTTTGAATCTGAACATGAATAGCTTCATGAGATCAATTCGCATATTGTTTGCATGGATTCAAAACTCAAACGCAGTATGGTACCTGCAATACCATCGACACTTTCCACTGCTTCTCATTCCGTCACCTTCCTCTTTTTCACCTTAAAAGAAGCTAAATAAATGCAGATGAGAAAAACATTGCACACCTGTTCCATGACCATCCTTAATGTAGTATTGTAGTTCATGAGAATATCCAATTTGTATCGATCCCGAATGCCATGGCCTTCAATTTGAGGAATCGAAAGTCTTCAATAACAGAGGGTCATGTTTCTTGCAAACGTCAATGCCGGACAGAACAAGAGGAATCTTACTGATTGCTAGCAGATCCTGCAATCCATTAGTCTACATACCAATTCTCCAAACTAATTAGAACTCTGGTTGATGTGTCGAAAGCAACCAGAGCAGTTGGTTTATGCTGTTAACGTGAAATAGCAACAAGACAAAGACACAAAACAAATGAACCACAACATGTCAACATCTATGTTGCTTGTACTATTTTTGAAGCACATCTGTGAAAAATCATAGCAGAAAAGTTTGTGTGGGGGGGGGGGATGTTACTTCTATTCATGTTTCCAATCATACAAGATTAATGAAAAACCGAGACTCTGCACTTGGCGATCTCTAAACTTTTGAGGGCAAGGCCATGTCAATGCAGACGGATCAAGTGCAGACTGGCCGGTCGAAAACTTCTCTGTGGAGACGTCGCAAGTTTGAAACATGAAAACGGCTGTGGCCATAGCATTGCCGAATAGCCAGTTGTGCACATCCCAGAACACTTCCACCGGAACTCCATCCACCAAAATGGTCTGGTTGCCACGGAACTTCCACTTGAGCCTGTTAACCTGCATCACCGTTTTACTATCGAATATCGATGCGGATAACAAGGTTGGGGTCGTTAAGATCAACAGCGTCACACTCGATCACAACATCATGAATCAGTCCCTTGCCACAAAACTGAGCCTTGGCACAATAAAACTTCTTTCCAAAAACATGTTCTCTCTTTGCAATGAAAACAGCATCTGAATTCACAGGAGTTTTAACGTCAATCTTCTTGTATGCTTCCTTTTTCAAATCCCCAAGGAGCAACACCATCTCCTGGTCGAATGCAACCGCCAGGTAAAATCCTTGAACCGGTTCTGGACCAGAACCAAATCTAGCATTAGACAAGTTGATGCTTGGAGATCCGAGACAGATGATGATGAGATGTCAGATTGCACCTTGATGGCGTTGAGATACCATGAGTTGACAGATCAACGCAAATGCGAGAATTGATTGTGATATGTTTCTTATTGGGCCGTTTTGAGTGTGTTTCATCCTTTTGGCCATAACTTTGGCTACGGGTGTCAGAATCGCGCATAAGACCCTAATCTGAAAAGCTCTTTTCGACGCGCACGCTGTACACATCGAGCTACGCTCCATGTGACCTTTTTTCGACCTCAAATTCTGTCGTTTTCTCCTCCAAATCACTAGATTTAAATATTTTTACTATTTATGATAATATTTCGATTGTCAATTAGAAAGTCATTTTAAATCCGATTTCGGCCGGATTTTTTTGCAGATTGCTTATTTTATTTTAAATTTCAATTTAGAGTGATTTTCGAGATTTTGCTATTTTTGATAAAATTTCGATAAACAATATTTTTTGCTATAACAGTCCGACTTGTGGACTGATTTTCGATGATTTTGATTTCATAATATTTTATTAAACCCTAGAGACTTTTTTCTCTGATTTTTGGACGAATTTTCTATTGTGAATCATTTGTTGGAACTAACCTGCAGAATAATCGTTATTCTGTCTGGCTTCACAAGTCCCAACATATAACAACTTTACCAAATCTACATCTAAATTCTTCCATCCTTTTCTCTTGGAGAACAACCAGGGCTTTATGTGGACTTTACACGAACACTGATTGGCTGAGTCATCAATAGAAACACCAAGGCCTTGACCCATCAGATTCTTGGTCCATGAAACCGTAATTATCAATGAACGACCTTGTAGTTTACACTGATAAACACAAGTCACCAAGTTTTGAGCAGCTTTGACTGCACTTGAAGACGATGAATCGGCTACTTGAACACCGTATTCACCAAAACAAGAAGGAAAGTCCCTTATTATAATAACCATAAAAGGCAAAACTTTTTCCACCCCTCTTTTGCTAATCCTCCTCCCTGTCAAAACAAAAAACACACACAAAATAATCCAGAAAATCTTGAAAACCGTGTTCCTCAATGCTCAAGAGTGATACGGGTGTCGGACAACTTCAAAGGTTGTAAACAAGAAAGAGAGAGGAGCTTTTAGATTTGCTTTACTGCCTATGTCTATTTTAAGTCCATCTGAGGAATGGCCTAAATATTTTATTTTAACAGAAGAAAATTCAATAAATTAATTAATAAAAATGAAATGGCAAACTGGGTCTCTCCCTTATTTGCAATTCACGTACGCTTCTACCTATTATTATTTTACATTTTTTGGTCAAATAATATGTCGGTCACTATTTTTTATTCTCATCAATATCATCTCGTTCATCCGTCATCGACGTAACATAAACTGACCAATAAATAAATAATGTTGCTTCAAAATTTAAAAAAATATATACTTTGGATGAATAGTGGTCAAGAAAAAAATACTCAAAAATAAAAAAAATCATGACAATATATGTCACATCTCAAATTGGAACTAAATTGAAAGTATTGTAAAAGTCTAGAAGTTTAGGGACTTAGGGAAGAATTTACCCAAAAGTTTAAGTTGGTTTAAAAACCGACACCTTTCTTCTCCACTCTTTTTCCCCTGAACGTGAAAACCAGAAACGTTTCTCTCTATCTAAGTGTGGTGGTGTGCGACACCTCTGATACTATTGTGTTCGTTTCGTCGACCTCATTCATCTAGTATTCTTACCATCGCCGTTTGTAACCAGTGAAGGTTCAAATAGTAAGGTTTTGTGAAAATCTCTTTTCTGTCGACCTTTTCGGGAAACCGATGATTGTAAGTGACTTCTCGTGCTTCAACATATTTTTTGTATTTTTTCGATCACCGGAAGAGGTCCCCATGCGCCTCACGTGCCGTCGGACGAGAGTGATCTTCGTTATGCCGATTTGATTGAACCGATTTGACCCTAAACTAGTCCTGACCTATTGACTTTGATCGATTCGACCCGTTAACTTTGACTATTGACTACTGACTTTTTCGATGATCATTGACTTTTTTCTGAAGACCTCTATTTTGATATTTTTCGACATCCTGGGTACGTTTTCATAGTCTGTTTTGCTAAATTCTGACCTGAAAGCTCTATTTTGCATCGTTTTTCATTTTAAATCCTAATTACGTTAAGTGAATTGTGAGGTTTTGAACTCACTTTTGGGTCTAATTTTATGAAGGTGTCCTCTTGTCTCCAGATCGCTCACCAGTAGACCCTGATCATTCTCGGACTGCTTAGTTGAGTCCGCTCACTCGACCCGAGATACGTGTAAGTATTAAATTAATGATTTTATAGTATATTTATGTTTAGATTATTGGCATCCGCATTTATGGAAGAGTATTGTTTTAGATTCCCGATCTGTAGGATCTAGTACTACTGATCGTGGGAAACATAAGACCTAGTCGATATTGATTATCTTTTATAGTTGTGTCCCCTTGACATGTTTGATATATTGAACGTGTTATGTTATTTGTTGCTATATTCGTAATCTGATTATATATATATATATACGTGACATATTTGACTTTTGAATGTTGTGACATCACCATTAATTTGCATGTTGATGCATTTCTAATTTTTGTATGGGCTTAGTCCACATCTGCATGGGATTAATTCTCCATTATGACATTTGCATGAGATCAATTCCCCTTTTTGACATCTGCATGGGATTAATTCTCTGTTCTGACATCTGCATGAGATTATATCTCTGTTCTGTTTCTGTTGGGATCCTCTACGGAGGGCTAAATCCTCATTCTGATTTTGGTATTCAGTTTTGGATGTCTCATTGTAAGGTAATGTACATATTCTGTCGATTCGGAATGAAAGGTAAGATTGTGAATTTCTGTTAGGACATTCTGCTAGTAAAATATCTGAATTTGAATATTGTTTGATTATTATTTTGTTTATTATTTCACTTTTGAATTTTCTGCATTTTGATATTACCTGATATAATCTAGAGGTCACACTAAGCTTTGTAGCTAACTTTGTTTCTATCTTTCTTTTTCATATTAACCTGATATAGGACCAGTTTGGCTATTGGAGGCGTGGTCTCGATTATATATTGTATGGTATTAATATTTATTTCTCAGATGTGGCATGAGATTATTTTGTTTATTAATTTAATGTAATTAATAGGACTCA